GATTTCTTGAGCCTTCTAGGGCATATGTGAAGGTAATAGTGATCAATCCTCATGTAACCAAATCATGGCCTGTGGGTATTGCAGAAAAGTAGCAGTGTTGTATTTATTGGTTAAACCCCTTTTCTCAAATTTCAAAACCTCACACTAAATTCACATTGGATTAGCATTAATTATCCTATACCCTTTCTCTCCTACCACCCAATCAGTTCTGAATGGATCCTACTGGTAAAGTGTAATTGGTAGAACCACAGAAATCTGAGTGGGAAGGGACCTCTTCTTGTGGTGTGGGTCTTATGTGGGGGGAGAGAAGGAGGGTGGTTTGGGGAGGAGCGTTTGTTTTAGTTTGGTTTTTTGAAACTTGAAAACTTGCAAGAGCATCTAACATCAGTGTTCAGTGTGGAGATGCTGCTAGAAGTAGTAGGGAGACATTGAATTCTGTGTGTCAGAATATATCCCTTCAGATAAATGTAAAAAATCTGAATAAGGTGGCAGTCTTTTTGAAAGATACTTACCTACTGTAAATGATACCATTTATCAAGCTGATTTCAGTACATAGACACATGTCTAAAAGTACAGCATCCTTAAAAATAGTATGTGTATGTGGAATAGTAGGAGGGGAAAAAAGCCTCCTCTATTAGCAATTGATGCCTATAGCATTGAACCCTCATTTTAGGAAAAGCTATTTAAACAAATAACTCCAAACTGCTGACTCTCCCAGTACCTTAGCAATACTAAGGAATGAGAGTGCTTAGGAGAGTTAGGTGTGTTGAAAAACTGTGGTTAAGGTAGAAGCAAAATATAGAACTCATTGCCTTCAAGTCAGATGGTTTCTATCCTAAAAAAAACCCAAACCCCAATCAAAACTGTTGCAGGAAATAGTTAAAATGCTATAACTTTGCTAACTAAATCCATCAAATTATGTGGAGTACCATCTAGAATTGCAAAGATGATTAACTTGGTGGGACAGCATGCAGGGGCATAGAATCTGTTACTTGCTATAAATTGTACTAGATGAGAGAGAGGAAAAAGACCTGTGTGTATTAAGTATGTGAATGAAAGTATCTGTTTGAAGCAAAGGAAAAAGCAACTCTAGTAAGATTAGCAAAGGTCTGTTGGCAGGTGTCAGTGCCAGTTTATGGGGTGCTCAGTAGACTTCAGCTGGTGTAAAGAAGGTGTTTTAGTCACTTTTCAAGACTAATGGGTTTGAACTGGAACAGATGCAGTAAGGAGATGCAAGAGGATCAGGGAACGGTGTATTTACCTCTTGAGATCAGCATTTTGGGGCTTGTTTGAGGGGTCCTAGAGGAATGGTTAAGAGATGATATGTTTATTCAATATAAATAAATAAAATGGGTGGGTAAAGGGAAAATATGTCACCTCATTTAACAAATATTGGCAAAAGCCTGATACAGTTCACCTGCAGAGTCCATACAGTCTTGAAGTTGAAAGGCTTCCAACAGTCAGAATAGTCAGGTTTTAGACCTGTAGAAATCTAACTTGTGTCAGAGTGGAGCCCAAGTTTGTAGTGAGGTAGATGTAAGTGCCTGCAATGCTGTGGTCTTTCTGTGGCCTTTTGACAAGACTTTTTGAGACTTCACTTAGTGAGAGAAATCAACACTGTTGCAATTTCACCCCTGAAGTGAAATGGCACTTTATACTAAAAGATAATGAAGGTGGTAAGAGAAAGCAAGGTGCATGTAATAAAATCATAGAATCATAGAATATTTTGGGTTGGAAGGGACCTCTAGAGATCATCTAGTCCAACCCCCCTGCAGTGAGCAGGGACACCACTAACTAGATCAGGCTGCTCAGAGCCCCGTCCAACCTGGCCCTGAATGCTTCCAGGGATGGGGCCTCGACTACCTCTCTGGGCAACCGGTTCCAGTGTTTCACCACACTCATTGTAAAGAATTTCTTCCTTATATCTAGTCTATCCTGTTTTAGTTTAAAGCCATTCCCCCTTGTCCTGTCATAGCTGGCCCTACTAAAAAGATCTTTCCTATAGGCCCCCTTTAGGTACTGAAAGGCTGCAATCAGGTCTCCCCACAGCCTTCTCTTCTCCAGGCTGAACAAGCCCAACTCCCTCAGCCTGTCCTCATAAGAGAGGTGCTCCAGCCCTCAGATCATTTTTGTAGCCTTCCTCTGGACCCACTCCAACAGTTCCATGTCCAGCTTTTCATCCACCAGCACCCCCAAGTCCCTCTCAGCAGGGCTGCTCTCGATCCTTTCTTCCCCCAACCTGTATTGATACCTTACACATCTTCTACGTGACTTTAAGATATCTGAACCACTGTTGTTAAAGTATGCTTTTCTATGTAACTATAAATATGATGGGGAAATGCAAGATATATATATTAAAATAAAAACCTTGAATAACTGTCAACATGTGTTGTAAAGATGATTACACCTTTATAAATTAATGTGTTATGTTCTGTAAATAAAGCAAACCCAGAATCCTTAACTTCAGTAGCTATGTAACTTTTTTTCTTCCTTCCTTCAGATAACAGTGATCTAATTGCTTGTACAGTCCTAACAAAGGATGGGGGTCAAGTTCAAAGATTCTTGGCTGTGGATATTTACCAGATGAGTTTGGTTGAGCCAGATGTTGCCAGACTTGGCTGGGGAGTAGTTAAGTTTGCAGGCCTTTTGCAGGTAAGAGAAGTTTTAATCTGTGTGGTTACTTTTTCTCAGCTGAAAATCTACAATTATGTTGGATAAATAGTAATACCAATATTGGCTTATATAATTAAGCTCTGTACCATGCTTACTTGTTTTTTCCGCTACTAGTCTTTTTTCTAGTTCCTGCCTTTTAAACTATTTCTGGTTTTCTGAAGAAGTTTACATAGCTAACTAGGCATGCTTGAAAATGGGGTAACTTCCCCAATATTTTTTGGGCTGTGTTCATTTGAACTTCCATTAAGTAGCACAGTAATGAACTCTGGAAGAGTTCTGATCTTCTTATATGGGTAGGGAAGGTGACAGGTTGTAACTTCAAAATTATCTGTGCTTATCTAATTGATTTCAAAAGCTTTAAGAAGTTTCTCTCATTTATGTCTCTTTCTTGCCTTAGCCAACACTGTATTTCCTGAAAATTTGCTGTGCTTAAATTACTTAATTGAATTTTAAACTGACTTAATCTCTATAAGTACCCATTTCTGAAGTACTAAATCCAAGGTTGTACAACTTGCATAGTCCTTTTTTTTTTTTAACATGGAAACTTTTTTTTAGGAGCTTTAGTGGAGCATTCATAGGGTTTTCTTTCAATGTTGATATTTAATCTGTAGTTTAAAAATGCTAACTTTTTCATTAGCTACTTGCCTTCTGTTTCTTTTTAGGATATGCAGGTGACGGGTGTAGAGGATGACAGTAGAGCTCTGAACATAATAATTCATAAGCCTGCCTCAAGTCCTCATTCTAAGCCCTTCCCTATCCTTCAAGCTACATTTATTTTTTCTGATCACATTCGCTGCATTATTGCAAAACAACGTCTTGCAAAAGGCCGTATCCAAGCTCGGCGTATGAAAATGCAGAGAATAGCAGGTGAACGGTTATTTTGAAATTATTCTGAGAAACATCAACATAGGGATGAGTTAGAAAAATCTAAGAAGTGATGTGCCACAGAAAGCTGTTAACCAATGTCTAGTTTCCAAGCAATAGATTTTATTGGATTAAAATACGTGTTTTCATATTTAATGATAGACACATCAAAGATGATGGAAAAGAAGGAATCCTGTCTTGTTACCACTAGCTGCCAGTCATTTCACAAAACTCAGCATTTCTCTTTAAATGTGATTCAGCGTGGTGGTTTGACCCTGGCTGGATGCCAGGGGCCCACCAAAGCCACTCTATCACTCCCCTCTAACTGGACAGAGGAGAGAAAAGTAAATCAAAAGGCTTGTGGGTCGAGATAAGGACAGTGAGAGACCATTTTATCAGTTACCATCATGGGCAAAACAGACTCAACTTGAAAAAAATTAATTTATTATCAATCAAAATCAGAGAAGGAGAGGAGAAAAACTGCTGGATCTTAAAAACCTTCCCCCCACCCCTCCCTTCTTTCTGGGCTCAACTTCACTCCCAGTTTCTCTACCTACTCCCCCCCAGCGGTGCAGGGGGATGGGAAATGGGGGTTGAGGTCAGTTCTTCACACGTTGTCTCTGCCGCTTCTTCATCCTAGGGAGTGGACTATTCCCCTGCTCATGCATGGGGTCCCTCTCTCGGGAGACAGTCCTCCATGAACTTCTCCAACGTGAGTCCTTCCCACGGGCTACAGTTCTTCATGAACTGCTCCAGCATGGGTCCATACCTTCCACGGGGTGCAGTCCCTCAGGAGCAGACTGCTCCAGCGTTGGGTCCCCTGCAGGGTCACAAGTTCTGCCAGCAAACCTGCTTCGGCGTGGGTTCCTCCCCCCACGGGTCCGCAAAGTCTTGCCAGGAACCTGATCTGGCGCAGGCTTCCCATAGGGTCACAGCCTCCTCCCTTCGGGCATCCACCCACTCCAGCGTGGGGTCCTCCATGGGCTACAGGTGGATATCTGCTCCACCATGGACTTCATGGGCTGCAGGGGGACAGCCTGCCTCACCATGGTCTTCACCATGGGCTGCAGGGGAATCTATGCTCTGGCACCTGGAGCACCTCCTCCCCCTCCTTCCTCACTGACCTTGGTGTCTGCAGGGCTGTTTTCTCTTGTGTCCCCTCACTTCTCTTCTCTGTCCAGCTACTGAGATGCAGCCGTTTTTTTTTTCCTTCTTAAATGTGTTATCACAGAGGCGCTTCCACTGTCGCTGATTGGCTTGGCCTTGGACAGCGGTGGACACAGGGAAGACTTCTAGCAGCTTCTCACAGAAGCCACCCCTGTAGCCCCACCACCACCAAGACCTTGCCACAGACACCCAATACATTCAGAGATTCAAAATTCAAATGCCCTACTTAGAAAGTGGATGTTCTACTGTCTTGGGACTAAATTGGAGCTCAGCTTGCCTGAGTCCTGAGTTGGGTGGTCTCCTGATGGTGTTGATGATAATAGTTAATGCTTGGGTGTGGTGATGATGAGCAATCCAAAATGTTAAGTGGATTATGAGCAGCTAGATTTCTGTGTTTGGAGGAGATGTATGCAAAGAGATGAAGGAATGAGTTAACTTGAGTAAATTGCAGAGTGGTTAAAATGTTACTTGAATATTAAGTGAGTAAAGAATAAATTGAAGCTTGCTGTTAAACTGAATGAATTAGTGAGTACAGAAAAGGAAACTGAAATACAGGAAGGTGGGCAAATGAGAAAGGACACCACCTATCTCAGTTACTTGGATTGTTTAGAAGCAATAATGAACCAATCATGGTTGTGAAAAACAAAGTCATAGCTGGTATTAAAATTATTGAGTTGGCCAGAGAATTATTCTGATTATAGATGATTTAAGATTATTTTAGTGTCTTATGGTTCTGTAGGAAGCTAACTAAAAAGAGTTTTATGCTTTGGATTTACAAAATAAATATATCATACTTTATGGCTTGCTTCATGTTAAAAAATTGAAAGCAAGTTTGAGGTTAAGAAAGGTCTATTTCAATATTAAAATTTGAGGTTGAATGGTAATGCAAAGGCATTTTTTTTGCCAGTTTAAAGCACATTGTCTCTTTAAATGGCTTTCTGCAGTGTTCAGTTGTAACTAATTAATGACTTTACTTTTGCAGGAAAAAACAGAATTTTTTTTTAATAACTCCTACGGCTTATTTAATGCAAGGAGCTTACTGTAATACTTTTTTTTTCTTCTCCACTGTATTCTGAGGCTTCCTCAGTGTGAATGTGGTGTGAACAGCAATGGTAGAAAAGGTTGCTGGAAATGTTGTCTGTCTTTTCCAATGCAATTGTAACCATAATTGAAGTAAATGCAGGCAAGTTATGTTAAACAATCTGGTTTAGTTTTAAGATCCCGAACAAACTATGAATTTTAATTTCACCTACTCTTCCTGTTATATATTTTTGAGTAACAAAAATTATCAATTGTGATTAAACACAGCTCTCCTGGATCTTCCTGTTCAGCCTTCAACTGAAGGTGTTATGGGTTTTGGACACAGCTCTGCAGCTACAGCCCAACACCTTCCATTTAGATTTTATGATCAGTCACGACGTGGTAGCAGTGATCCTACAGTGCAACGCTCCGTTTTTGCATCTGTGGACAAAGTTCCAGGTAAGATTAGCGTTCATTATCAAGTGATTTTTGCTTTGTGATTTATATCTGCAAAAGCTGAACTGTAACTTGTATAAGCAATTAAAAGCTTACTGCAATATGTTTCTGAACGCACAACTCCAGGATGAGGCTTATGGAAAAATTTACTCCTAGAGAAACAATACCTGGGTGTGTATTCAGTGTATATTGTGAGCAATACATGCATTGCAGTTTCTCCAGATACACTGGATGTGTCTTAATACTTTGCCTTCCTTTACAAATTGAGTTAGTTTAAGTCATGTTTCACATATTCAGTATTTATGCAACACATCTGTCAGTTGTGCATAGTTCCTCCTTTAATTTGGTTATGATCACTTTCTTGCCAGTTTGCAAAAATAGCTAAGATACTGTGCACTGCTTTGTTTACCTTAGAGCTAGCAAGACAGAAAAGGGCCCCAGCTACTCCCAAAACACTAGTTTGGAATTGGGATTGAAGGAATGATTCTAAATCAGTGAGCTCTCTGCTCTTTTGTCTCCTTATTGTCTGTTTCACAAATTGACTTCTCTGCAGAGGTTTTTTTTCCAGATGCTGAACTTTTCTCCTTTTGAATTGAGTCATTTTAAAGTTGAATCTCATACTGCTTGAAAGTACTTAATTTTGTTGTATTATACAAAAAGATGCAATCTTGTTACCACTAGCTGCCAATCATTTCACAAAACTCAGCATTTCTCTTTAAATATGATTCAGTGATTCAGAATTCAAATGCCCTACTTAGAAAGCGGATGTTCTTCTGCCTTGGGACTAAATTGGAGCTCAGCTTGCCTGAGTCCTGAGTCTGGGGAACAGAAATCATGAAAGCATATCTCTTGCTGGTCAGTTTTTTCAAAAGAGAAGTGTATTGTATGATGGGAATATATTTCCTTATTTGACGTGACTTCCATGGAAAAGGTGTGGTTGAAAAGATGCCAGTTTTACTGTTTCAGAATCAACCTTCTCTAAGAAGAATGTGCTTTTGTTCATAACAAGTGACTTCATCTACTGATTCTTTTTCTTTTTTTGGGGGGGGGGCGGGAGTTGGGGAGGTAAGGGGAAGGAAGATATTGGGGGTGGTGCAACATGGTAGTTTGTTCAAGCAACCATATACTTACTTTGAATTCCAGGAAATGGAGAATTACACTGTACGTGTGAGGGCTGTTACAGCTTTTGAACCAGGTTTTTATGCAAGACAGGTGAAAGGTGACAAGAATATAACAGACCATACTTCAGAATATCCCTGTTAATACTCTTTATAAAAAGTACGGGTTGTGCAAATGCAGTGAGATGATGTAATCATCCCAGATGGCTCACTTGATAAACTGGGCAATTCTATCAGAGAAGAACAGAAGTAAAATCCTTCACTTGATCAATTTTATCATCATGAAGTCATGACTATGAATATACTTCAGTGTCTCTTTTAGGTTAATGGCCTTTGCCAGAATGTTAGAGCATTTTGGTGATAGTTTAGTTGGCTGAACTTTTCATCATGTTATATATTAGCTATGTATTCACATGATGATTTTGAAGTGTTCCTTTATTTACAGAAAGAATTACATTGTTTTCAAAGAAATTAGCAGATTTGGTAGGTGTCCTGTGAATGCAGGTCTTATATTGAAAGTAAATAATCACTTCCTCTCCAAGCAGACTCAAATATTAGTTTCAAATACCAGCGGTATACTGAGATTTGTATGGTCAGTGTGTCTTAAGGGAAATCTAAATATTTTAACAAGTGTGGTCACTGTCCTACTGAGGAGATTTTGAAAAGCAAAATGAATCAATAGATCTCTCATGATTTTTTCCATGGTTAATACCTTAGTATATGATGATGATAAGATTTTGAGGGGAAAAGTTGGAAAAAAACTTCTTGTTAATATTAGCCATTGTAAGCAAAGTATAGCCATCTCAATTTTTCTCCTTTGGATTTTAAAATTGTCTTTTATAGCTTTGTAACCCTTTAAATTAAAAAGAAAATGTAGGTGAGAATTCTGTATAAAGTTTGCATCACTTCTTGGGAATAGGAAGACGTTAAACAGAGCCCAGGAATTGTTTAAGTAGTGTTTGAGATTGAGGTTGTTCAGATTTATGTGAAGAAAATTTATTTTAGTTTTGTCAGTTATTTTAGTTTTGTCATTAAGGCATGACAACCAAAGCATTATTATTCACTGTAAAAAATGATGCACCCTTCTTTAGCAGGTCACCACAAGTGGGCATAAAATCATACTTCTTTTTTTTTAAAATGCATAATATGAATTTATTCTTGAATGTATATAAACTTTTGTAATTTAATTGCCTTCTCCGTCCACAATAAGAAAACTGATCCTTTTGATAAAGTACTAATGAGGGGCTTGACATTCACAGGTGGTGTGCATCTGCACTTGATTGATTTTATGAGGTTAGATTGCTCAGCACATTTGAATGTCATATACTAGTTATTTTGGAACTGTAGTGTGGGACTCTGACCCTTTCAGGTTCATCATCAACCACAGCTACCATAGGAGCATCAGATTGGGTTAGTTTTCTTTAGTACAAAGTTACTTCCACTGTGAGATGCTTTGAAGTATCTCATGCTCCATAATTCTAGGATACAGTTGCTTTTATAGCCCATATCGTATTTTTGAATGGTTAGTTCTACGTGAGAATAATGAGGGACAACTGCTAACTCAGTTTATCATCTCAGTTTGTTTTTTCTAATTCATCTTTGAACTGTTCCAAGTTTGATATTTAGTTATGGCTGCTGCTATTATAGACCCAGCTCTGCTGCCTTTTTTTATACCTATATATATTGCCTGGCCATCAGAATTGTGGGATATGACTAGATACTAATCTTACTGTCATCTTCAGAACGATGTAGAACTAAAACAATTTCTGTGCAGAGGTATTCAAGCAGAAGTGCCTAATTAAGGTAGTTTGACAGTACTAATATTATAAGATACAACTATAACTTGATTTATGTGATATGAATTACTGCTTATGTGCGAGAAATGAAAGATACCACTGAAACTGAGTTAAATATGCAGAACTGCTTTTAAATAAGAGGTTTGGAAACAATCTTTGACTGTACCATTTGAGGAGTTTATTTACAAGGATTATTTTCAAAAATACAGCACTTCAAAATAGTACATTCTGAAACTGAGAATTCTGAAGTCTTCTGTTTTAGTGCTAATGTGCTTTAGCTCTCTCCATGCCAGTTGAACTACAGTAACTATTCCAATTTTTTTCAACTTATAGAAGGGACTTCTCTGGTTGATGGAAGAAATTGTGACATACTTTAATATGTTCCTTTGTGCATTAACGGATGGTCAAAATAAATGCTGTCTCAACAAAGTATCGCTCATAACGAGGATGTGCTGGCAAGGCATGAAGAGTATCAGCCATGGCAAAGAATTAAGTCCCTTGATCTCTGGACTTGAAACTAGTCTGTTAAGTATACTAAATTGATGAGAACAACTGTGAATAAAGCTACATTCATCATATATTGGCATTGCATAGCAAATCTGGAGACGTAAAATGTCAGTTAATCTATTTTTTAATGCTGGTTGAAGTGGCAGCATCTACTGGCAACAGAGATCCAAGTAACTAATATGTTTTGTATGTGTTTTTTCTTGGCAGCAAAAACATTTTTTGCATTAGAAGTTATTCTCCAGTTTTATGAGGTTGTAATGGGGATTTTAAAATATAAATAATCTCTACAAGTTGTAATTTTTAAAAAGTGCATCAGGTTTTCTGAGGCAGAATAGCACTTTGCAAAGATGCAAAATAACTATTGAAAGAAATAATTTTCAGGCGTGCAATGGTTTGGTTTTTTTTCATCCATACTTGCAAAAAACCTCAAGTTCAGCATTGCCTTGATTTGACTAGGGACCAACACATGGAAACACATGAGAGTTTTTTATGAGATAACTATACTTAGAAGAACAGAGTAGAAAGAAATTGTAATACAGAAAAGACATTGGCGTGATGATGGGGGTTTACAATGAGAAAACAGTTTCTGCTTTCTTAGCCAAGGTTTTATTTCTACTTCTCAGGCTTTGGCTTTGTTTTTTTTCTTCTCTTGTTTGTCCTGTTCTCTGCCACCACCACCCTTTCCCCTTCATCTCACCTTCAAATTTTATTCTTAGGAGATCTTAGAGTTCAGGCCATTTTTTTCATTAAATCATTTATAAGACAGTAGGAAGGTTTTCTCCAATTTGGGAGAAAGGTTTGCATTAATTGCATAAAAAAAGTTCCTTTAAAGAAAAGCTAAGAAGCTATTCAGGTTTTGGCATGAAATTTTGCTGCTGTTGTGTAAAACACAGCAAAAGGATAACTGTTGATACATATTCTATTAAAGAAACACAGCCTTATGAAACATCGTGATTATGGAAATAAGGTCTTCTCCAAGGAATGGGGAAGGTACATCTTTACAAATAACGCCTTACTGAGTCTTAAACAGAAAGTTATGTTGAAGCAGATTCCTAACTGCTGCAAAGGAAATATTTGTGTTTGTAACTAATGTTTATCACAACTGGCAAGTCATTAAGTAGTAACAAAGGTACCTCTAGAACCTTCTCAGTGTTATTTTACTTCCCATAGCCATGATTAATTCTGCTCACCTTTTCTTTGCAGATGATATTTCCTGAAGGAGTTTCCTGGTTAGAATATTTGTTCTTGGTCAGTAGTTTTTCATTTACAGGATTTGGAATGATTTAGCCTTACCTCTTCTTCCTACCTAAATTACCTCCTGTAGCACATTTAAAATCCTTCCTCTGCAGTTGTGTTGGGGGGAAAAATACGTTAAGATCATTTGCAAGCAAATGCTTCAGTGTAAGGGCATGACTCCATGCACACTGTTCTGCAGAACCTTTAGGCAGGCAATCTTGCTGAATCAGGCCAGCTTTTCCTATGATAGTTGCCATAGACCTTGTTTATTTTTTCTACTGTTTTTACTATTTTGGTGAGAATGGAAGATTTCTCCTCCCTTGAAGTGCAAACCTTTTCTGGATATAGGATGCCTTTTTCCAGCACTGTAAGCAAAACAAAATATACTTATGTAAGCACTTCTATACCAATGGCTTTAACTGTTCCAAAACCAAGTTTCATTCACTTTAACAGATGGCTTTGCATCACTTCTGTGGTCACAAATCCATTGATTATTCCTTGTTTCCCATCCTAACTGGTATTTCAAAAAATGAAGTATGTATGAGAAACCTAATGCACATTTGCTATATTAAAAACTGTATGTGTCAGTGGCCCTGAGTGCTATAGAAGTCTTTCATATTTGAGGTAGTTTAGTTTGTGGTTAACTTTTTGCAGACTATCAGGCATCACCATGTGTAACCTCAGTTTAACTTATCTAAATGATTGTAGAAGATCAATCACTTTGGTTTCTGAAATAAAGTACAGGGATTTATTTACATTTATGGAATAATTAGCTGCTTACCAAACTATTCTGTTTTTAACTAAAATAGATGTCTCCTGCCATGGTGGTATTCACCCTGGACATAATGAATTGTAACTAAAAAAAAAGAGAAAGGCTTGGTAAAAGTGGCATTCACCCATCTAAAACTATGATGCAAGTAATACAACAATTCAGATAGCATTGTGTTTCTGTAAGTGGTTTTGAGTCTAGTTCTTGAGTATAAGAATGGGAGGTAGAGGGTAAGAGGTGGGACTGCAGATTAAGTCAAATTAACAGGACTGATGTTTGTTAGCTTTTTTCTGTGTCTGTCTTCACCCATTCTGGATGTTTTTCCCTTGTAACACCTGTCAGTATGTGTTGCTGCTAACAGCATTTGCCCAACTTGTCATGTCTGTGTTACAAAGCTTTAATATGCTTCTTGTAACAAGCCCATTTAAATATAGTTTTGACTGGCTGCCTGCTTCATGGCACCAGCAAATTCAGCATATAGGAGATTCTCTATAATGAGTGATTCATTCATCCAGTGTCATGGGAGATTCCCTATATAAAAGAACAAAGAATCGTGTAGTACTTTTGCTTTCTTTCATACCTCATGGTCAGATACTTGCCTTTTCAGTGTTCACTATGCAATGAAAGCAACGAGTAATATATTGTTAGGTGTTTCATAGTGCTCATCGTAGCTACTTTTAATAATTCAAGGGACTGACATTAAAAAGTAAACTTTTGCATTAATACTTACCCATGGGAGAGTGAGGAGGGCTGCAGGAGCAGCTGAGTTGTGTACATCACCTGACATACAGCCCATATTGAAGATACTTCTTTCAGTGTAAGAAGTGCTTCAACTTCTGAAAAGCTGCTTGCTATCAAAACCTGAAGAGATGACTGGAAGTCTCCAAGTACTAGGAGGAATGTCTGCCAAAGAAAAGCCTTACTAATAAAATCGGGGAATTGCTATAGGTGTGTCATTGTGAGGAAGGTTGCTGAGAACCATGAGAAGGGTGTCATCCTCTAAAGAAAGTAAGAGATCAAAGAAGTATGAACAATGCAGTGGTAACTGTCTTCACTGAACTTATGTGGGAAAGAGCAGGCCATGAACTTTTCTTTCAGAGCATGTTGTAAATTCTAGCAGGTAATTCCATAGCATTCTTATAGTAGATTGCTGCTATTCTAGTAGATGCTAGACCTTTAGGTTTCGTTTTTCTGCATTCAGAAAGTTCTGCATTTGAGGTTCAAAATCAAACAATTGACTTCTATAACAACAAAACTATGAATACTCTGAGTTAAAAATTGAGCTGAAAAATAGGAGTAAAGGGGGGAAACAACTGCTAGTTGAAAGATACAGTAAAGGGCAATTGAAAGATACAGTAAAGGGCAACTTGCTGGTTTTAATCTCATGGGAGATATCCTGACTTCTTCAAACAGCCTAATTGCAAGTGAGTTAGCAGGTGATCCCAAAGCGGGGGTCTTTAACATATGGGGATCAATAGAGTCCATGAAAATACTTTCTGAAGTTTTTCAGAATTGGAATATTTTCACTGCAGGTCTTGATATCCCACACTATGGCTTTTGTGCAAAAGGAAACTTCTTGTCAAGCCTGGAGCTTTTGTAGTGTCACTGAACAACTTTTTTCTGATAATATGGGAGAAGGCTGTTGCAAGAGTGCTCTGACTGTCTTGAGCCAAAGTCTGCTGGAAGCCAGAGCATGGTTACTTGATTTTGTCCCAGCAATGATTAACTCATTTTGTTGTTAAATGAAAATATAAGCTTTAAGAAAGTCAACAATCACTGGAAAACACAAGATGTTTTAAAGAACAAAGAAGGATGTGTTTGTCAGATATAATATAACATGACTACTTGAACAAGGTTTTTTTCCTTTTCTTAAGTAGCATGCTTTTGAAACACCAAGTGGGGGTTTTGGGGGGTTTTTTTGTTCCATATTCCAGCTTTTCTTCTCAAATACAAACTACATTCTTACAAGACTTGATGTTGTAAAGTGTTCTAACTCTTCCAAAGATACTCTTGTATTTCTATTTATGTTGAGGTGAAAATAATGGTCAAGTGTATGCCTTCAGTATTTATAATCTGTGAATGTTTGAAAGTTAGTGTTAAATTTAAATTGTCACAAGTGAATCATGTCAACCAGACATGTAGCCAGAAGGCACTATAAAAAATAAGGGTGTTCATAAATACAGGCTAGTTACATCAAATGAGATTTTACTGTAGTATCTGTTTTGTATAAAGTTACCATATCATCATTCTCATCCATAAAAGAAAAATGTACTAGTTGTTTACTTCTACTAAATGTTCAGCATGTGTTTGCAGTGCTGCTGCACTTGCTGGAGACACCTTTGTGGGCACTATTTTTAGTAGGATATGACTGAATGGCAACATAACACATTCAACAGTAACCTAAAGAATAAATTTGAGTTGTCTTTTGTCTCATAGCATGCTTCTGCACAAAGTATTTTGCACAACATACATGTAAAAACTATTGTTTAGTTTCTGAGTCAGTGTAGTCTTATGCAATGAATGGATGATGTAGATGTCAGGTACACATGGCTTCTCATCTTGACTAAATCAGTGAAATTAAATATTGCAAAGTACCTCATTCTCAGGTTATTCAGTTCTGAGATGTTGGGTATGAGAAACCAGGGATTTGAATTCCTTCCTTGTGCTTCTTTCCCAAATGGCGTACTTCCAATGGATTTTCCTGTGCTGCAGGTCCTCAATACCTTATGAAATTGCATCTTGAAAGAAAAAGTGCATGAGTCATTGTATGTGAGGAGGGAATGAACTAAAATGAAGATTTTTTTTTTTTTTTTTTTTTTTTTAAGGCATGTCAAAGGTGGAAGCAGGGGGTTGCAGAGAAAGGAGATTACGTTAGGAAAGAAGAGGATGCTCAAAGAATTTGAGGAAATATTAGACTGAAAGCCAGAAGATGACTTATTTAAAACACGCTGTCAGACACTGTGTAGACCTTTTGAGTCTGAAGACTGGAAAAGTTTGACTGGATGAAATCCAATGCCAGCATTAGATTTGATTGAGTAAAATTTTTTAAAGTTATCTCTGCAATGAAGAAATGTATTGCAGACCTTTTTATGCAAAAGGGTTTTTTTTTCACTTTTGACTTAACCATTTTCCTTGTCACGTTAAGGTCTGTGACCCATGAATTTATGGAATTTATCAAAAACTGAAGAGTTTTGACTGCTTGTCCAAGCTCTAAGTTTTAAAATGTTGTGAATCCCTTAACCTCTACTTTCTTGATGAGCATTTGTAGCATGTTCTCTGTAAGAAGCATTCAGATTTTCAGACTTCCAGGATGACAGTGGGAGAGAGTACATTCTCTGGGTCACTACACAAAATTAGCGCCAGTTTGATGCAATATTTGCTCTTGCCCTTTCTCAGTTTGTTCATGTAGCTTAACTCTTTCAAGGTAATTATTAACTTGTAAACTTCATTGTCCTGTTTTGCAGGCTTTGCTGTAGCCCAGTGTATAAATCAGCACAATCCATCACCACTCTCATCACCATCACCTTCCAGTGGCAGTGGGAGTACAGGGCGCTGTGATTCAGTGACTGCAAGCTCAACATCCACTCCTTCTGCTGCACAGAGCCCATCAGGTATTAAATCATGATTTTCAGCCTAGGCACTAAGGGATGTAAAGTAGCTTATTGTAAAATTAAGTTACTATGTTATTGGATTAAAAACAGTGGGGCTTTATATTTTTAGATCATTCGATCATTCAACGAAAACAGTTAAAGTAGATTGTGGTGCAAATTTTAATGATCTCTTCAGCTTTCTGGAACTCTACTAAATACTTGGCATCTTTCAGCAGTGATTTTTAAGTACTGATGAAATAATGTCTTGTTTGTCTCACTTGTCTCCTAGCACGTACAATTTAAAATATTGTTGGTTTGTTTTGTTTTTAAATGAAGTATTGCTTTGCATAAATTTCTAATGTAAAATATTAGCCTGTCACCGTAGTAGATAAGTTGATCTCCACATGAAGCATTTTTTTTTTTGAACAGGGTGACATTTGCTTTTGTATGTTTATCTGATGCTCATGTTAATTGGTAACAATGAAATATTTGAAAATAGTTATTTAGGAAGCAAATATTGTAAAGCTTTTGCAATAACACTCTTCTGGCTGAATGCCACCACATTTGAGGAGGCTATTTCATTGGTGCAGAAGAAGCTGCCGTATAAGTAGACTGACTGGTCAGTATGTTTAGTAGGTATGTTTATACTGGGACTTCTTGTTGCATTAGAATGCCTTTATTCCTCCTTTTTTTGTGTGGTACTCGTAGATAATCTTGCAATGATGTCTGTTCTGAGTAAAAATTATGTGTGAGGTAAAGCCACAAGCTGGAGACTAAACAAGAAGTAAATCCTGAAGGGTGCACACTGGAATGCTTTCATGCTAGAACTGACCTACTCTACCTCATTTTAGTTATAAAACAATAGATGTAACTTGATTCTCAAGATCTTTTCAAAGAGCCTCCTCATTTTAACAGACACTTCCAATGTTGATCACTCCTTGAAATGGTTGTTCTGGTTCCCCCTTCTAAAACATATGATTTTGCCTTTATTTGCAGTCCTACAGGAAATGATACAATCCTTGTTAGGCATTTAGTGTTTTGTAGGTTTCACTGAACAGTGTCAGGAGATCAATGTACATTATATATCCAAAGTTGACCATCCCTGCAAGAAATATTGCTGGAAAGGGTAAGCAAAGGCTGCTTATAAATGATATGTAGAGCATTCTAGAACCCAGACTCTAGATTAAAAAGCATCTATTACTGTGAGAGATAAACAAATAGTCAAAACATTCCTGCAATATGTGTAATTCCAGAATAAAATTTGGAATATTTTTCTATGTGCAATCTATTCAAAACTTTGGAAGAACCTAATTTTATTTTCCCTGCTGGTAAGCAATAGCTGTTGTGTAGTCTCTTGATGGCCTAGATAATATATGGTGATTACACAGAGAATTGGTATCATTTGTCAAAAGTCTCAGAATGGATTGGCACTACAAGAAAACATTGTTTGACTACATGTTTCGCCTTAGCAATGTAAAAAGGCTTATCTACAATGTCCTTTGCTGTATTTGAATTCTGTGATCAGGAAGTGAAATGCAACTACAGGTTCTTGGCAATAGTGACTAAGAGAAAACTGTACTGAAGAAATGAAAATAAAAACTCTAAATTATTTTTGGTGCTGTAAGCAGCATGCTGGTTCACAGAAATATGAAGCAAGACTGTACTACATGTTTCAAACTGAGGTATCTCAAGTGAGTGTTATCTGACTTCTACGAAAAACTGAATAGATCCAGAGCACGTAATTCCTCATCTAGCATAAACAGATAATGCCTAGATTGAAGAATAATCATAGACAAAATTAACAAAATTTAAATCTACTTACACAGTATGTTGGCATTTGTATAACATAAAATTATGTTTATTTTTCCTGCAACTTAAAAAGCCTGATGACAGGAGGCTGCTCATTGGTTAAATAAATAAATCAATCAATCAACCAAAACCCCCCCAAACAAACTCTTCTCCCCACCTCTCTCCCCCAAAAACCCCCACAAAACCAAACCAAAAAAACAGAGGAAAGTTTTGTTTGGTTTTACAATGCCTGGTTTCAGTCTGCACTTTACCAGTTAGGTTGCATGAAATGTCCACACTTAGTATGATCTTCATTGTGGCTTAATTATAATGTTCAAAATGCCACATGTCAGGTAGGAAAACAGTATTTGGATGGATTTTGGTTTTTTGCTTTAGCAAATCTAGTTGTGAGGATAAAATTCCATGCCCTACCACTTAACCTTCAGCAAAGTCAGTGGAAATGAATGTGAGAATCTGTGTCAGCTACTTCAGTCCCAAGTCAGCAGCTTTCATTAACCTGCTGCAGGGGTCACTTGAGCTCAACTGCTGGATTTTGTTCTGCTAACTCTACTCAGAGAGCAGTAACAAAGAGGAAGACGGTGACTATGTGCATGAGCGGGTAGTTTGGTGCAATAGGACAACGAATAGTTGGTACTGCGGTGTATGTATCTAATCTGCATGTGGCTTTGGGATTTTGCTATCGACCCCGTTTACTCTGACCTTTAGGACCAGACATCCTTGCCACGTGTGTGATTGTTTGAAGGACCAGTTATTAGTTCAGATGTAAGTTGCTATTAATATTTGAAGTGTGTGTGAGGCATAGTTGCAGCATATCTTACAGTTTGGTTTCCTTGTGAAAGAATCTCATTAGTGCACAGAAACTGTTCCTAAAACCAGACTAAAGCAGTAAGTATGCATAATTCTTCAGAGCTGCTCTATTGGTTGGAACCAAACTGCTAATGTAGTTCCAGCCAAGAATGTTTTAAATAGTTACAGCTGAGTGGTGGGCTGTTTCTCAAGGTCCTTAGTGTAGACCAGAGAGGATTCTGAAATCTCTGGAGCTGGGTCTTTGGGGTGTTTTTGGGGAGGGTTTTCTCCAACCCAGGGAGCTGCTTTGACACTTTTTGCTACTCTTCAGTGTCAGATCAAGACTATGTCTATTCCTGGGAATAGTATTTCTGCATTAACTAATTTGACCACTTTACTGCAAGTTTATAAAGAATGTTCTCATGAATGTTCTCCCTATTTATATGTAATTGTGATCTATACTGGAAACTTGCCAGGAGCATGACCATAAAAGAGATTGTTTGGTATGTCCAGACAGCTGTTCCGTACGTTTCTGCATGAACAGAAGTACGCTGCTGAAATAAGTGATAGAGTCTTGACCAGTGTGTTATATTAGGTCTTACAGACCATTCAGCTGAGTTACAGAAACAATTGTTGGTATTCACCTACTTCAGTGTAAACCAATGTGATTTTCCCTTAACCTGTTCAGGACAATTGAAACTAAACTGCCTTACTGTGCTGTGAAGCAGAAGAAGAGGCTTGCATGATGTGAAGTGGCTCCTTCAGGGAGGAAGTAACAAGTAGCTGATGACCAGCAAGCAGTTACCAAGATCTAGTTTATGCACTTGAATGCTGCTACCATCTGTTGCATTTGAATCTGTCTTCTGATTTCCCATTCCATTTTAAACACACTCAGGCAAGCACACATGTGCTCTTTGTCCCTCCCTCCTTCCCTTCTCCCCCATTTGTTCTCACAACTGCTCAGGTTGTTGACCATGAAGAACATGTTAAGTTGCTCAGGAACTTCAGTCAAGAAAGCCAGACAAGATAAAGGGGAGATGTGTATGTGGACTTCAAGGAGACTACCTTTGTTAAGAGCAACATCTTAAGCCATGCCAAGCTGTTTCAACTGTAAACTTACGATAATAGTGTCCTAAGCTACTGTCTGTTGACATATTTAAATTGTTCAGAGTTTTATATGTTTGAAATGGTATGTACACACTGACTTATTCATAAAACAGTGATAGATGAGAACAAAATAAAGACAGATTGCATAATTGTTAGTTGAGAGAAAACAATGTTACAAGATAGAGAATATATTAACAGTTAAACAGTAAAAGAGCTCTCAAAAATATATCATAGGGGAAAAAAATTAGTCTGGTGTTTCATAAAAATACTTTACTTGGTATCACTCCTACCTGCATCAAACGATCACACAGTATCTTAATGTGAGGAGGGAGGTTAACTGAACTTACATAAAATCATATGACTGATGTATATGTTGCAGTCATTGCAAGAGAACAATAGTTGCATTAACTGCTTTGGCATGAGTAAAATAAACTCCTATGACTCCTGAGTTTATCAGCTATCCTACCTAATATTTGTCGCAATACTTCGTGGCACAGGTAATTTAAAGCCTAGCAGCTCTCCCATTTGCAGAATTTGGAAATTAAGCTTAGCCCTTTACAAGATCTCTGTCCCTTAAAATTGAAAAAGCAGAAGTCATCCCTTAAAGAAAGCAGAATCCCTAGCAAGACAGAAGAAGCAGTGTCAGGTTCTGCAAATGCTGCTATCAGGTTGGGGTTTTTTTTCTTTGTATTTACATGCTTATTTTTTTTAATGTCCATTTGAAGTGTTGCTATGCATAAGACAAAAATGTTCTCTTGCTAGGCAGATTTTAATCATCCAGCTTCTGAGCTTAGAATACAGTCTCTTCTTGGCTACACTTGCTGGAACCGTGCACTTCTTTAAAGTGCTTATTTTTATATATGCCAAGGATTAAGATAAAGAAGCTCTCTTACTGTAAGTTAGCAGTCTTCCAGAATTATGTATGTGTAATGTTATCCACGCTGTATTTTATCACTTTTTAAGTTGTCTTAAGCTTTAAAATGCAATTGGCTTCAACACTTAAGAAAATGTTTACACTGGAGCAGTGGATATTGAAGACTTCGGAAGGCATTGATCTTCTATGCCACTTATGCTGTATTTCAGACTTCTGGCAGATATTGATGGTAAAAGGTCTAAAATAAGTACAAATAGCTGTCCCTTGTTACAGAGAGTATATTGGATTCCAGTCTGTAAAATAAAATTTATATATTCCGAGGAGGGGATGATTAATCAAGTATGGAGAGCCTGTAAGAGCAGTGCCTGCCATCTTACTGAAACCATCCCTGTCTTTTCCCTCTATAATCAGTAATGTAAATGTGGTTTGACATCTTCTGTTCTATAATGCTAGTAATTTTCTAACTAGGTGAGGAAGTACTTTTGTTTCTAGAAAGTTTCTTTTCTAGAAACTTTCTATGCACAAAGCATCATCATCTGAACTGCTGCTATCTTTTAAAACACTCTGGCTTTATTATAAACCAAATCTAATAATTAAGTTTCATATCATAGAGTAGTAGGGCTGAATGGTCTGAAATATTGTCACCTGCATGGTAGTGCACCTCTTACAATTTATGGCCGGTGGAAATCAGAATATTTCTATTTCACTAGGATTTGTGATAAATAGCTTCTCTCAAGATTATTCTAAAGCATGCAAGTAGATTGTAATGCGTGCTAGTCTGTCTTCAGTATAAGTGCTGTTGGTATTGCCAGACATAGCCCAAACCATGTTATGAAGATTTCCAGATAGGTTAGCAAAAAATGAAATTGAGTTAAACTCACTTATTTCTAAAGAATTAATACTTCCAGCTTCAGAAGTATTTCCCAAACTTGTAAGACTTGGTGTAGTGTCAAATTGTACTCAAGATACCAGCAGTTGTGGATGTGTCCTTGTCACTTACTCTTGTTACTACTCTAACATTTATCCTTTGTCTTCATTCCAGTTTCCCTTCCTTGTTTCATTGTTAAAGCCTTGGTATGATCTATCACTGTGTTTTCCTCTAGTAAGGTCTGGCAGGAAAGGACGTCGGCGGGTGTTTAGTCTGTCGGAGGCTGACAGTCACGGTGGACACTGGGTTTAGGTCTTCAAGCAGCAGCTGCAACAGAAACTCGCGCAATATCAATTCAGGCAGGTTCCTCCATAAGCTTTCAAAAGCCCGTAACAGTTAACAGAACATATTTGGTTTTCATGCTGACAGCAATGACTGTGAGGTAGGAAACTGAAGAAAGCATCATAAATATTTGTCTTTACTGTATTTTGGGGGAGAATTGTAAAGCAATAATTAGCTGTTTCTGAAAACCTTATCTGCAGTATTTCCCATGTTTCTTGGCTCTCTTGCCAAAGATGGAAATTCTGCTATCAAGCCTCCAGCTTCAAAGCAGCTATGTCTTCATTTGCACAGGGGCAGCCATGGCTGTAGTGGAATTTAGTAAGCACAGGCTCCTGAATGGACAGTAATGCAGGTACTTGGCTAGCAGCAAGAAATCTATTTATAACTCGGGTAAAATGAACAAGAATTCAGCATAAGACTGTCCTTGGACTGTGATGGCACCAGCTTAATATTTCTATGATCATCAAACTCAGGCAGATGGCTTTATGGACTGTTTAATTGCCTGATGAGATGAGGCGGGGAAGTAGATGCAAAAATGATGGAAATATGCTACAGACTACCTTATTTATATAGGCCATTTTAACTTGTATCTAATTAATTTCTTTTTTTTACTGTCATGGCATGAAGATATTTTACTCTGTTAATATTGTATAAACAACCTTTTTCATCTTTATAGATTTACTTTTCACCTAATGTCCTGTTACTTATATTTTTGTTATCCTTTCATAGTATGTTGCTGTACAGCTTAGGTCACTTCTCTGTAGATGATATTAATTCTTTCCTTTTCCTATACTTTTCTATCTTCTTTCACTAATAGTCACCCTTGATATAAGTTAATATATCGGAATTTGAGTGATTTAGTTTGGATTTTTTTGTTGTAATGATAATCTTGGTAGCATTATAGAAGTGCTGAAAAACATATAAGGTTGCTGAAGCCACTGCAACCAGAGAGAGTTAATAATACCCAAAAACTTGCAAACTGACATCCTGTTTTCAAACCTTGTTTGGTACTTAAATTTGGGGGTATGTGGGGGGTGTTTGTTAGAACTAAATGTTAACATCACAACTGTTTTAAGAACCTGACTTCACTCACCCTGGTTTTGTTGCAGATCTGGCTTATACTTTTTGCCAGAACACTCTTGTTTAAATATGTGAGGGTTGGGGATAGATAAATAGAAATGCCGTTTTCCCATATCAATGATAACTTTTTGATATTTAAGAATAGAGCATATCTTAGTAAGTGGTGATTTTATTCAGGTGAAGATGACAATTATTTTTGCTCTTTCTATCCAAAAGTCAAACTGGAACCAAGTGTTAAAAGTTTGGGGGGTTATTTTGAAAGGCTGTTAGTGGTTTTGTGTGTAGTATAGATAGTAATAGGTAGGTATAGGTCCAGTATAGGTCCAGGTAATGGGTAGAGAACTTAATCTCTAAACGTATTGGGTGCCTTGAAACTCTTTTGAATCAAGAGCTTGGTACCTATCTGGATTTGAGAGACAGACATTCTTGTCATGATCCCTTCTTGAGGTTGGTTTTTTTTTCAGCTAGGGTGCATCTTTTTGCCAATTGTTTATTCCAGTTTCAGAGACTTTAAGAATTCAGATCATACATAAATATGTATTTATCTACTTGGATCCTTCTCTGAGTTATGCCTTCAAAAGGTTTTGAAATTTTGAGCCTCAAAGATTTTCTCATTAGTAATTATTGTCCTGAAGCCATGTATTCAATTAACTGGGAGGTGTTACATGTGAAAACTTTTTACATCAAGAGGGGGGGTCTGATTTTTCATTGTAATGCCTCTTATATACCAAATTTTCATTCCAAGATGCTGGATCTCTGTATTCTATTGTCTATTTAGTTTCCTTCATCTGTAGTCTAGGACTGTTTTCCACTATCCTTGTATCCGTATGATATGGGAGATGATCATGCTTAAAAGCTTACCAAGCACAAAGTTGCAGTTTGAAGCTAGGTATACACCTCAAGTAGCCTATGCATTCGAGAGCTTAGTCACAAAGATGTAAGTACTGCTCTCACAGACGTAGTTTCTACCTGTGACTGAGGAGTAAGATTTTTAGTGAAGTATTTTAGTTAAGTATTATTCTAGAAGGGATAATATATTGCAAAATAGTAGTGAGAGCTGTTGACCTTTTCTTGACAATGTTAAAAGTTGTCCCTCCCCCACCCTTTTGTGTATTTGCTTTCTGCCTCTGTGGGGGACTAGCGGCAGCTGGCAAATACCTAGTCATTTTGGCAGTAATGCCATGCTGGGTTGCAGAATAATGGAGTAAGAGAAGTGAAGCTCTGACAGTGACTAATGAAATATTGAAAGTAGAGGAGAGAGGCTTACTTCTACCAATAGTAAATAAAAGTGGGAGGGAAGCATAGAAGAGCTCTAATTTTGTATTCTCTATAAATACTGCAGCTGAAATACTGAACAGAGTATGTTCTGGTTACTTTTTTTTTAATGTTTTTATCTTTTTTCTGAATGTTTTTTCAGACTTTTGGATAGAAAATTTGGACTCCAGGCGCTTTTTTTTTTTTAATGGGGACTTTTTTTCAAATACTTTTCTTTTTCTTTGTGGCAATAAGAGGGAGTCACTAGCATTAATTTAGATCCTACATGGAAGGATTTAGGGACGGTACAACATAACAAAAGAATATGTAAGTCTGTCATGATTTCACTAAATGAAAGTATTGAGAAAATAGATTAATATATTTTATTGGGAGATAAATTATTAATAATATTAATGATTAATATTAATAACATTAAGAAATGAACTGCAGAATCAGAAGTGAAATAGCAGAACTGCAATAGAAATGTGCTGTATAGAACATTCGTGAGCAGAATGCTATTGATTGTTAATACTTTCTTTACCAGAAGGTCTCAGGTTTCTGAATCCTGAATTTTGGTGAATATTTATATTATAACTAAGGTAAAAAATAATCTTGGCAAAGAACATTTTATATTCTCTTAAGACTTTATAAATTCGGAAAGTAAAATCACCACAGAGAGACTCAGTTTAGTGCATACTTAAATGTTAGTATTTATCTTGGAATTCAGAGAAATTAGGCTTTACTTCAATGTTTTTAGCAGTTCATTTTCCATACAAGTCTTGCATCACTTCCTCCCTTATGCATCGCTACATTCTCATTAAGGTTTCTTGACAGCTAAAGAGAAGAATCTGCAGAGTTACTTTGAATCTGTCCTTATTTTTCAAAAATAACCAGTGATGTCCCTTTTATTTAAAAGGAGACTTTTTTTACAATCTATAAATTTTCTTATTAAAGCAAAAAGCTTTAGCCACCTGGTTCAGCAAAAAGTAAAACTGAGTGGTGTTGTGAAGTGAGAATACACCATTGTTTGGGGTTATTTTACCAGAAGGGTAAAAAACCCAATAATCTTACTTTTATCCCACTGATACCTTACAGATATCCATTCCATTCTCAGCTTTGTTTTGCTTTTTTTTTTTTGCCTTATTTCATGCTTTCTATTCTTTTACAGGATTAATTGGAATCATATTGAAACTGAAATATTTTTAAGGTCACTGTGGTTTAAAAACGGACCCTATTTCTTAGCTTCTCTATTCACTACATTGCCTTGTAGACTTTTCTGCAGATGCCTGTACACTTGAACACATGCTGTTTCTTATAAGAGCTCTAAAAATAGTCTGTCTTGAAGCTGGATACCTGTTACTTTAATGGCATCTATTACTCTAGTTTGAAAAGAAAAAAAAAAAACAACCCTGACTTTTCTGGGCATACTTGCTCATATAACGGTATATTGCCTCATCCCCTCCATTCACTATCCATCTGAGCCAAATGAGCAGTTTACTTGATAGCTGGGATTTTAAGGGGGGAAAAGGACAGTACAAATAGCTGTTAATGTTTGGGTTTGGGGTTTTTTTTTCTTTGTGTGGGAAGGTGTAGTAGCATAAGTTTTCTGTGGTATGTAATGCTTATTCCAAATTTTATCTGTGGTGTATGCTCCATGCTTAGGAGCACAAACAAAATCATGTAACACAAGGCTGTACAGTAAGCACATTATTTTCCTCCTGTTCTTCCATAGTTCTGCTTTCTGTGGTTGAGGTGTCATTTAAATGTGAATCTGGAGAATGAAATGAGAGAACGACTTATGAGAAACTAATTATACAGGGGTTCTTTTTTCTTCTTTTTTTTTTTTTTCTCTCTAAAGAGCTTCCTCATACAGGGTGGCTATTCATTTTAGTCTATACTAAATATTGGAGAGGCTTTTTTATCTTCCCCTTAATTTGTCTCTCTAGGAATATTTCTGATATTGCTGCATATTCTAATACTAAATATGTAAAACTTTGTTTCTTAATTTCAACAGATTCCTGCTTATGCCTTCGTTATATTTTGGTTTATTTCTAGTTACTGAAAAGCGATTGTCTAAGCATAGTGCTTTACAGAACTGCATTTTCCACCCAATTATTCTTAAATACTCATAAATAATAGTATACTGTTAGGCTTAATGTACATAGTAAGTTGAATATTGATTGTTTCTTGGTGTTTTCTTTTATTAGATGACGCTTCAGCTCCAGAGCAGCCTCAGACGACCATTTCTGGTCAGATGACCATTTCTGGTCAGACGATGTTGACTGATGAAACTCTTTCAACTGTCTCAAAGTCTAGCAAGAATGCTGTAAAAAACAGTGATATAGAAACAGCAAATCTGTCTCCTAGCCTGATTCCTGCACAGCAGCCCACAATATCATTAATAACAGATGACAATACAGATGCACTAAGTGTAGAGTCACTTACACTGGTGCCACCAGTTGATCCACACAGCATTCGAACATTCAGCTGTATTCCTCAGTCCTCTTTGCAATATGAAGTTGAAGTTTGCAAGGTAAAAGAGGTAGAGGAAGGATGTTCTGACTGAAGCCAACCTGCAGACTGTGATAAACAGTGAAGCAAAATGCAACCAGATTCTTTGTTGTTTTTTCTTTGGGAGTGCAGATACTTCTTGAAGCCTGAGGGGCCATCTGGTCTGCAAGAAGAGGCCCACTGATGAAGGAGAATGTGGGCAGCTTTTAGAGTAAATATCAGATGCTCAGCATATGTAAACTGGAGAAGAAAAAAAAAAAGCTTTTGAATTTGGACTGGTTGTTTCTTACCAATTTCTGTTACACAAGAACATAAAAGTATTTCAGAGCACCTACTTTCTTTCTATTATAGTTCCAACTGCAGGAACTAAGTTAATTGTAAAAGGTCTACAGCATTATGGCAAAGTGAAGAAATGTTTGGATACCTGGCTTTAGGATATTGTATCGTTACTTCTCTGAAACTGGAGACATGCCATTGACCAGGAAAAAAATATGTATTCTAGTACAGATATAACATTTCCATTTGAGGCATGGTGTGGTTTTGAGTTTCTTTGTGTGGTGGTTTGTTTTTTTTTTTTTAAATCCTGACCTCATTCATCTTTTGGAGGGTCTGCATGATACCAGCAGGCTTGGCCGCTTTCAGTGTTGTCTTCATAGGACTCCAGACTTCAATATTGTGTTTTCCATTTGTAATATTTATTTCAAAGTTTGATTCAAAGCAAGTTATATATTAATTTTTTAAAGGGTAAGAGGCTGAAATTTAATAACAAATGCTTATTCAAATTAACATAAAGGATTTTTGAGAGTACTTTAGCCTTTGATTAACCAGCTACAGAGGAATGTGAAATATTTTAAGAGATTGCTATAGCCTGTTCACTTCTGACAGTCAAATTGTACACTTCTGAGGAATGACGATATCCTTTCTACTGAAGGACACCTAGAAGCAGATGGAAGCAGTTCTACTATGAAGAGTTTTTTTTAATTTTTCATCTTCATGTAGGAAGAAGGTCACCACATCTAACTGATAATTCCTTTGCAAGTCTGAAACTCAAAAGGTATTGTGTAGTTTTTTTTCCTGTCTGGGATAGTTATCACAGTTAAACAACATTGCCACATAAAAGTGATTCTGAGTTTATGCTTGCCTTAGTTTGCTTCTTAGATTCTGATACCAAGTTGAGAGAAAGTAGTGGGAAAGTGTTGATTAAAGTTTGGAATGTTCTTTGCTGATTCGATATATAATTTAACATGAATGGAATTTAAGATTTTTCTTCAATTTCCATGTGTGTTAATTTAAATTAATAGTAAAATGAGCAGATTAGCATTGTGGATCTGCTCATAACACTGAGTGCTTTCTGGCTCTCAGATAGAAGACTACTATTTACTTTACTTGGTATTGTGATCTCAGTTATCAGTGCAATCTGTTTCCTCGTTCTGTCTCTATTAATGTTAATTTCATATCAAGTAGGTGAATCTGAAAAGTTTTTACCTACTTCCCAGTCTTTTATTGTACCACTTCCTCACTGTCAGTTGGAATACTTGAAGTGATTTTAAACGTTGTATTTATATGAGATTGATTAATCCACAGGTATATCTTTGCTTGTTTTTCCCATCTTTTCCTTCATATAGTAACTTAATCTTTGTAAAACGTGTATACAAGGTGTCTGCTATTGAACACCAGCAACTTTTTTTTCTTCCCTTATTAGCTTTTGCATGTGGTTTTTGTTGATTTCTAGTTTTCTGTGTCTTCTACTTTGTCTCAAATTGAGTTAACCAATATTATGACCATTCCAGAGTGGTCCAAACTCTAAACAAATTCTCAGAGTTAGGTGTCCTCAGCACTGCTATGAACATGGGATGAGAATTTGGCATTGCTGGAGTAAAAGCCTACCTCTTTTTTTTTTGCTTTTGGTCACACACTTGGGGTGAGTTTACAGTGCAGTCACTGTTGCAGCTAATGTACATGTACCTGAAAAAGCCTAGACATCGGTAGCAATTTGGGCCCAAGGACCACATAAATTTTTATTAGCTGAACTGATTGCAGTCTAGACTTCTTCTAGTGTGCTGCAGCATTACACTGTAGCCCCAGTAATATTCTGAAGATCATTATTAAATATGATGCTTTACTTAATTTGAAAGCATTTTGTGTTAGTTTTTAACCTTAACTCTTGACCTAGATTACACAAAACGCCACTGTGCAGGCTGAGTTCCTTAAATATAATTAATTTTAGACAGGAAAACCTTGATCTTTATTTATCTAATTTCAAATTCAGTTCTAGCAAGATTAGGACCATGCACAAGGAGTCTTTTTAATGGGTATGCATAATCTCATTCTTGAGCACAAGAAATGTAGGGCAAAGCAAAAGAAGGCTGACTTTATGCTTTTCATGGCCTTCGAGTGGCTTTTAAATCTCATGACCAGTTGTCTACTGAGAGCTTCACAGGAAATGACTGAGATAAATACTATTATTAGGAAAATAGAAGACTAGGTCTACTGTCTAGTCTGCTGCGGGTAGAGCCTTGCTGGTCAAGGTGTGGTAAGGTGGGATATCTTTTAGCAGTTCTATCAAAAGCAAGGATGAAATTATACTAGGAAAGCTCTGACTGCATGAGCTCTACCATTGTTACGTTGTTATATAAATGCTACAACTGGTACAGACCAACCTAAATCTCTGAATAGTTATGCCACAGAAGCAACTGATTTTTGGCTTGTTTGCTTCTAATATGAAGGCATATGTGTATATAGTTTGACTGGGCTTCATGCTGCAGTAGGAGACTTCAAAATGTAAAAGCTCTGGAGATGCTGAAATAATCTGTCATTGGCAATCTTTTATCTCTGCAAGTATGGTGTTACTCATCTGCAATTCCTTGAAGAGTATCATATCTATCTCTCCCTTATCAGAAGAACTCAAGGGTGTTTCTTTATCCCCCTTTCACTGTAAAAAGGAAACTCAACCAAGAAAGCATTAGCACATCAGCCACAAATATAATTTTTTTTCTAAACAAATGTTGATTTGAGACAGTGTAACATCACTCTTTTTACCAAATCCAAATACCAAGTTGCAAATGAGAGCAGCAGCTAAACAACTGACCATTCAAAAGGCTCACTGTTTCAGTGCAAAGGGAGGTAGAATCACTCTAAAATAAATACAGCAATGTTCCAGAGCAAAAGGCAAAGATTTTGGAGAGATGCTAAATTCTTAGTGCTTGTTTGTAGAGGCTATGCCTATCTTCAGCCATATTCTGTTAACATAAAGCAGTTCTATTAGTCTCTCCCTTTGGAGAAACCAAAGAAGCCAAGGTATAGTGTTACTTTGCTATTTTATGGTCTAAGTGTCTCATTTTATCAAATTTTACCAAGATACTGCTTGTTCAACAGAACTGTGTTGCCTTCACTGTTACGTCTCACTGCCTCTGCTGGTCCCCTTTGCTTTTCTGTCATCCAGTGTACAACAATGAAGAAGACTTCAGCTTTTAATTTGTGAAGAGAGTAATGGCAGCATACGCTTGGTATGGTAAAGAAGGGGAGGGAGGAAACATTAGTGCCCAATTCTAATGTGTACTTCACCATGGAAGTAGTGCTTGCAGTGTAAAACTTGCATGCAAAGATTAATTATTTTGCAGAAATTTTTTGATATAGAATGAAACCAAAGGTTAAGCTTCCTGCACCACATTTTACAAGCTGTGTGGATTAAAAGAAATTAATTAGAAATGTGGTCACATATATTAATACTAACAGCTGTATTTCATGTGTGAAGTCATGAGTTATATACAGTATAAGGACTGAGCTCATTTGTATTCTCCACTGCTAATTCATGATAAACTAAAATTCTGACTTCTCTTCCTTAAATTAAGCTGAGCTTAAAACAAAATATCTAAAATTACACCTGTTAAAGAAGCTCCTCAACATTCTTCGCTTTACAACACAATTGGAATTTTCCTTGAAGTCACATAGTGAGGAAAAATTGGGAATATCTTCCAGAATTCATTTACTCTTTTGCAGTATTGTTGCTAAAGGAGGACAGGTATGTGATATTTAAAAACTCTTCTTCCATATGCAGAATTTAAGATTCAAATCTAGATCAGTATTCAGAGTTTAAGTCAATGTCCAGTGATTCGTATGAACCCTTTGCCCAACAGAGACAGAATACAGGGGGAAATAATGTTCATTTGTGAATTTGAAGTATTCTTCTGTGTAGAATTTTAAAACTTTAGGATTTAAATTACTGTTATTTTTTCTAATTAAGCAGTAAGACATGAGTGACTATAATTTCCACGCTTACTGCAAGTGGCCTGGGATGATTACTTTAAACAATCTAGGAATTAGATAATGACCCTGCAATTGAGTGTAATTTTACTAGTGGTAAATTAAATTTAAAACTATGCTTGAAGCCATAGGTAAGCTATCAGACAAGCAGGTCAAACTGTATGTGTAAGTATGAAGCCACTTCATAAAAGTAAACACTTCAATCACATGGTGCTGTCAGTGCTCTAGTGTAATCAGTCACTCCTTTCACTGCACATGTTATAGGTAAATAACTACAGAATAGCCTAATGAATAGTTTCACTAACCTGCACGAGTACTCTTCAAAAAAAACCCACCATGCTAAACATTCTGATGTTGTCTTCACTAACCAGCTAAAGTTAAATGGAGAGTTGCTTTTAAAGGAGCATTGTGCAGGCAGCTGTCATCTAGGAAACTTAAGTGTTTTAGTCCTACAGTTGAATCAAAGATTTGCAAAGAGACATCAGATGAGAGCATCAGTGAGGTCTAGGCATTTTGCCTCAAAGGTAATGAGTCTCCTTGATTAGTCTACTTATTTTCAGGCAACCTAATGTTAGGCATCTTAAATATATGTTGAAAATTCTCTTCCTAACTGTTACTGTCATTCTTCTTGAAAGAGTTTTTTGGTATGTCACTGTTTAACCATCACTGGCCTACCCTAGGATGTCACTAACTGCAATTCTATTATCTAGGAGTCTTTGGAGTGGTTATCCTGTGCTTGCCTGCTCTATTGCTCTGACCTTTCCCAATATTTGCAGCATGAATTAGAAATAAATATACTAACTTTTGCCGTCTCCTAATATTAACCCTTACTGTCTCCTATTAGCTTCTGAAAAGCAGATGGTGATCCAAGAAAGACTTGCTAGGGTGGGATGTTTTTAGGGGGTGGGAGGGGGGAAGTGCTTGGGTTTTTTCCTGCTGCTCAGGATTTTTTGAGTGGCAACAAAGACATGGGAGATGCAGTTCTGGACTGAGTCTCAAACAGAAGGTTCTTTCATATGGAAACTTATTTTTATATTACATTTGTACAGAATTTTCCCTATTTTGATCTCCCAAAATTTTTAGATGTACGCATTGCTCAGATTTGATTTCTTTTGCAAGGTGTTATAAAATATGTATTTTGTATTTCTTAATGTATTATAAATGTAAAGCTAATTTTTGCTTGTCTAATAAATGTGCACTGTGGCAGTATCTGTTTTATTGTTTTGCTAACTTGAATTCATTGGTTCTTAATATGAAAAGGAAAAGTTTGAGTCATTGTTGTGACTGTCTTGTTAGCATAAATGAATGTGTGGAGTGCATTTATTTAAAAAAAAAAGGGGGCTTAAGAAGCAGGTAATGACTAACAATACTTGCTGATGACAAGAGTTAGAGTTAAATAAGGTTCAGACTAGCATATACTGTTCCCAGGATTCCTGTAAGATCATAATCATTAAGATATATCAGGTTTTTTTCATCTTGTTCTCCATTACTTTTGGTTATGGGTACTCATACTAATGTCAGTTTAAGACGTAGTAATTGCAATCTGATAACTTAAGTATGTATGAGGAGATGAAAAGGTCTAAGATTT